CCCCCCCCCCCCGCCCCAGCACGAAGGAAAACGCTCTCGCCCTAAGAGACGCCACGTGGCCACTATATTAAAGAGGTCAGTGTTAGCGTATCCCAAAATTACAAGATTATGGAGCCGTTTGACATCAGATATAATCTCCGAGTGCCGCCTCTTCTGAATAGTTATCAGGAGGGATTGTGAGGTTTTAGCTGCAAGTGACGTCGGATGTAGGTTATGGGATTTTTAGAGATGTTTCTAGTAGGTTGGAGAAACAGAGGAAAAGCTGGTTGCTGGTGGTCAGCCTGCCTTCTTCCTTTTACGCAGAAACCACAAACCGCCCAGTGGCATCCAAGATGCTCATTCACAAAGGACTCACCGTGGCCAGAAATGTTTATATTCACCCACCACGTGTTCACATTTCACCCACGAGTGACAAAGACTTGATTTCCACACTGGCATTCCCCTTTCATGAAGATTTTTCACTCATGTTGCTTAGCTTGGGCTGTAGTGTTAAGTCACAAAACAGAAAAAAAACCTCATGTGTTCCAAATTCTCTTGGTGATGGAGTCTGCGATCAAAGACTTGATTTCCACACTGGCATTCCCCTTTCATGAAGATTTCTCACTCATGTTGCTTAGCTTGGGCTGTGGTGTTAAGTCGCAAAACAGAAAACAAACAAACAAACAAAAAATCTCATGTATTCCAAATTCTCTTGGTGATGGAGCCTGCGACCCTGTCCTTTAAAATGATGACCACTCAGGACACTATCTTGCTGAAAAACAGGTTGCAAGTGCATTAAATAAACAATAAACCAATGATACCCAACTTTGTGGGCTGTTTATATTCACCCATCTCATGTCCACATTTCACCCACAAGTGACAAAGACTTGATTTCCACACTGGCATTCCCCTTTCATGAAGATTTCTCACTCATGTTGCTTAGCTTGGGCTGTGGTGTTAAGTCGCAAAACAGAAAACAAACAAACAAACAAAAAATCTCATGTATTCCAAATTCTCTTGGTGATGGAGCCTGCGACCCTGTCCTTTAAAATGATGACCACTCAGGACACTATCTTGCTGAAAAACAGGTTGCGGGTGCATTAAATAAACAAACCAATGATACCCAACTCGTGCCACATCAGAACGGGCCACTAGGGGGAACCAGAGAATTTTCCTCTCTCTATTTCTGAGTGGTTGGTAATTCAGCAAATTACTTGCACAATGGCGGCATTGATCATGACCGTGGCAACCTACCTCCTGAGAAATAAGGATGAATGCCATGAGTTCTTTTTAAAATGTAACTTTCAGAGCTCTGCATATCACCCTATCACCAATGCACAATATTTCATCTCACAATGTAGAACGAAGTCTGCCCGGCAGTATGGCAAGTGTGTGGCATACTGTTCTTTTTTAGTGCTTCTGACTGCTTTAACCCAATTACGAATTGCTGTTATTTCTTTCTATGTCCTTGTTCCAGTTTTTCCAAGTCCTATCACACAAAACCCACTACTGTGATCCGCAGTTCAAGGACTTTTGCAGAAAACCAAAACTAATCTTACCGCTCCTCACCCCACTGAAAAATCTGTTTACTTTTCACTCTTCTTAAGGTCAGAGCATAATTTAAGGGGACCGCATATTGTCTCCTCTTACAACAATGATATACCTCCAGTAAACATTTTAGTCCAGTGCCCGAAACACCAGATTCATCAATGAAGCTGTGCTATCTCCAAGTTGAAAAATATCAAAACAAAGCCAGGTTAATTTGCAAAAAACCAACAGTGGTGACCTTGTGTTAGAATACTCTCTTTTTCTTAAAAGTCTTGTGAGCCCCTAACTAACAAACGTTAGTGTCTACAGCTACACATACAAAACTCTAGTTCAAAATAGCCTTCAGAGGCCCCTAAAAGCATCCGACTCTTAGTCTGGCCATCATTAGCAAAGCATTTTTTAAAACAATCAAAAGACCAATGGCTTTACGTCAGCTTTGGTGGACAGATTGGATTGCTCGTTTTTGTAGACGAAGGAATTATGAACCATCCGTGTTTGTGTGCAAGAGAGGGGGAGACTGTGTGTGTAATATAAACGTTGTTGGCCATCTGTTCATCCATCAGCCGGTAGCAAATATTGCTCTTAGCCCCTTAGCATAGTCGTTATGAATGATATATTATTGGAGGTGTTTGTTTGGCAGACAGCTACAAGAAAGAAGCCGATTAATTAGGGCTTGAGATATTAGAGTGGGTATCTTAGATATATATGTGTGTGTGCATACATTCACACATACCCAGGAAGCAAAACGACAAGGTCAAATCTAGCCATCAAGTCCAGGAGTGTATCTTGAAATCTGTCCACACATTCAAGTGGTTGATGGGGCGTCAAGCTGTCCATGATTTATGGCAACCGTATGAAAAAATGATCTCTTAAATTCTTCCAAACTCAAATCCATGGCTTCCCTAAGGGAGTCGGTTCATCTCATATTTGGTCTTCCTCATTTCCTGCTGCCTTTCACCTTTCCTAGCATTATTTAAAAATACATGAGATCTAGGACCCACTTTTTCGTCTTTCTGGCAATCCAGGATATTGGCAGAGCTCTCCTCTAGCACCACATTCCAAATGAATCAACTTTTTTTTCCCCTGTCCGCTTTCTTACCCATACGCGGTAATCAGAAAAACAATGTTGTAGATGATCTTGGTTTCCGGTGAGATGATGTGCCCAAAGTAGGAACAGCCTCAGTCTCAACATTTTTGACTCCAGAGAGAGTTCAGGCTTGATTTGATCTAGGACCCACTTTTTCATCTTTCTGGCAATCCAGGATATCGGCAGAGCTCTCCTCTAGCACCACATTCCAAATGAATCAACTTTTTTTCCCCCTGTCCGCTTTCTTACCCATACGTGGTGATCAAAAATACAATGTTGTGATGATCTTGGTTTCCGGTGAGACATCCTTACACTTGATGATCTTTTCTAGTTCCTTCGTTGCTCCTTTCTGAGTCTTCTCTTCTGATTCCGTGGCTGCAATCTCCCTTTGCGTCGATGACTGAACCGAGGTATACAACATCCCTGTTTCAATTTCTTCATTGTGAGTGCCAAAGTTGTGAAGTTCTCTAGGCATGATTTTTCTGTTCTTAATGTTCGATGCTCAGTAGGAGTCTGGGCTCCCAGCATAACTTACCTGTCAAAAGTGGGATGTTTAGCCTTCAAGATGCAGTCGAATAATATTCTCACAATTCCTGTGCACCGGCCACAAAGTTTGCTCTGCATGTAATATGATTTGGCGGATGGGCGATGCAGTCCGACGTGATCTCAATGCCCAGTTGGCCTAGTAAAGGTAAAGGTTCCCTTTGACATTTAGTCCAGTCGTGTCTGACTCTAGGGCACGGTGCTCATCCCCGTCTCCAAGCCGTAGAGCCAGCGTTTGTCCGAAGACAGTTTCTGTGGTCATGTGGCCAGCGCGACTAGACATGGAACGCCGTTTACCTTCCCACCGAGGTGGTCCTTATTTATCTACTCACATTTTTGCATGCTTTCAAACGGCTAGGTTGGCAGGAGCTGGGACAAGTGACGGGAGCGAACTCTGCATGAAATCAAACTGATCTTTTGACCTTGTAGCCCAGAGGCCACCACGTCCCGTAGCACGCCACCACGTCCCGTAGCAGTTGCCCTACCTCTGACCTAAATCGTAACTCAAAACAAGAAACTCCTTGTTCTCCATTTCTGTAGGATTTTCCCCTTG